AAAATTATCACACAAAATTCAAGTAGTTATTTTATATCCTGGTTTTATGAGAAAGTGATGGTGTCAAATCTAATTACATAATACACCAATGCATGTGGAAAGAGAAAACCTTACCTTCAATAGTTATTGTGAATTTATTTAAGGTAATTGTTATTATTATCATTATTATGATTATGATTATGATTTGTGATTGGCCATCCAATTTTGTTTTTTGTTTTGACAATGTAATTATAATAGTACAAATTTATTTATTTATTCGGGAAAATTTCAAATCAATGATAACTTCACAAAATATTTACAAATTCATGAAAATATTTATAGTTTTAATGATTAAAGTTAGTGAGTTTACCATTAATTTGAAATTATTTTTGAAAACACCTACTGATTTGCGATTTTTCCTATCTATTTTTGTGATACTACTATTCTTTATTTTTAACTATTAGATAGATCTTTTCATCATATTTGCCATTAGCATCATACAAAGTAATGCAAATTTTTACAAAGTTATAATTTAAAATTTTTATACGAGATTATATTATTTTTAAGTTTTTATTTTTTGTGTTGGATAAATAATTTGGGACAGAGGCAATATAAATTTAACAAACCATTGGAATTGAAGATTTGTCGATTTGTTTTGTTTTGTATTTTATTGCATTGAATTGAATTACCCTAAAGATTGTCAATAAACATAACAAAATGTTAAAATATTTATAATTCTTTTTCATATATCTCAAAATACGTTTATATATTTTAATACAATTTTTTACGTGAGTTTCAACACTAATGACAGCTCTAACAATCATTTTTGGTAGGGTCTGATTTGCTAAAAATAATGAAAATATTAGGAAAAAAGTACTCATCACCATGTTAATATGCACTTTTTCAAGAATAATTTTGGGTATAATGGAGTACCCAAAAAAAAAAAAAGAAGGGATAAATTACAATGATCACTCTTAAATTTTAAAAAAAGAACAGTAAGATTCACCAATAAGATCTTTTTTAGTGCTCCTTTGGTTATCATCTTTGCCTAAAAAATTCACAAATGAATAAAAAAAAGTCAAAAAATCACAAAAAGGCAAAAATTACAAAAGGAAAAAGAAAATTTTTCATTCTAAAGCCAAAAAACCCAAATAAGAAAACTAAACCAAAAAAGTCCCAGGTTAGAATAGTAAAAAAAAAAATTAAAAAATCAATTAAAAAAGTCATTGCCAAACGATCCTTTATTTTTATTTTATTTTATCAAGATATTAATTTATCAATAAAATTAAATTATAATTAGGGGTTGTTTGGGATAAACTAAATAAGTACACTTTTTGACTTTTTATGAAATATAGGTTAAGTTTGAAGTGATGTGGTAGAGAAATGATGTGATTTAAATAAATGATGTGACTTAAATAAGATAATAACTTTTTAACTTTTTAAGATTTTGATTTTTTTTTTTATTATGCCAAACTAAGGGGTTGTTTGGGGTGTCCTAAATAAGTGCACTTTTTTTTCTTTTTGGACTAAAAAATTAAGAAAGAAAATATAGATGTTTAGGTTAACCTTTTAACTTTTTATGAAAAAATATGTAATAAAAAATTGTAAAAATTGATTTGTAAGAAAAAATTAGGATTGAGAATTGTGCAGCCGTAATGGTTGATTTTTAATAAATAGTGCTAACTGTTCAACTTTTTTAATAACTTTTGAATTTTTTAATTTTTTTATAATATGCCAAACTTGATCTAAGCCTTAAAAAAATTCTAACTACCTATCCCCTTAAATCTTGATTTGTTCCTCACACACACTAAGATGACTACAAACCACATGGCCAAACCCAAAGGTCTGATTGCACCAATAAGATCAAGTAGGCCATATTTGCAAGTAACAGAGATAGCAGGTGAAAATGGACAAACCAAAGTCACTGAAATGAAAACTGGATTAACCAAAAAGCATGGAACAGTTGATGGACGAGTGAAAATGATGAGAGAGAGAGAGAGAGAGAGAGAGAGCAGGTGAAAATTGAAGTTGAAATTGAAATGGAGGGGTGTGAGAGTGAGAGAGAGAGAGAGAGAAGAGACAGGTTGAAGTGATATGCAAACTGTCATCACTTTCTTCCCCCGACGTGCGTTTCTGTGTGCCCGGGCTTTCAGTGCACACACTTAATGAATTTGTTTATTTTTTGTTTTACTCATTCCACGCATAAAATGTTCCAAATATGCCCAAAATTTGGGAACTTATTTTTAGGTTTTTTTTTTTTTTTTCACTACAAGACAAATGTTTTACAAAATTTAAAAAAATAAATCAAAACAAAATATCACATTAAATCTCATAATTATTTCACTTTTTGTCTCACAAACATCACATCCAGCCACAAAATCACTTTTTTTCCTATAAACATTACATTCAACCATAAAAAAATCCGACTATCTTTCCAAATACAAAATTTTTTTTCTCTAATAATATCTTACAACTAAAAAAACCTTAAAAAAAACTCATTTCCCAAATACTCACTTAGAATGCTCCCAAAAGATACCGTAAGAATAACTTAAAATATTTAATTTTATTTGATTTGATTTTTTAAAAATTACTTTTAAATGAATTGTTGTGTTTAGTTTTTTTCTTTTTTCCCAAACTTTAGTTAATCTTTTGCACTTTTTAGTTACACCTAATCTAGATAAATCTAAAAAATTGACTAAAAACAAATGAAAATTCAATTAAAAATCTGTGTGATTTTTATTCTCTTCAATTTTCGTTTTTTTAGTATTTTTTTATATTTTTTTACTATTTTAAATAAATCTAATCTTAATGTATCTATAAAATTAAAAACAAATTTGACTAAAAAATGAAAAAAAGTTCAATAAAAATAAACAAAAATGCATAAAAATAATTTCTAATCATTTAAACCAAACAAAGCCTTTTATTTTTATTTAGAGATTATGCCAAAGGATTTGGTAAAATGTTCAATTATTATTTAAGAGGTAAAAATAAATTAAATAAGTTAAAAAATTGAAATATAAATACTTTTATTATTGATTATCAATTTTCATCTTATAAGAAGCGGCATTAATCATTAGATCATGAATTCAACTTCTTATCTTATTTTTTATAATTTTTATAATTATGTTAAAAATCGCAACACTACTCACAATTTCTAAAGAAAAATGTTTGGGAGCACTAATTAGTGCTCCCACTAATTAGGTGGCAGTGGGTCTCGTCATTAATGATGTGATGTTTTGGTCTTGGAGTTGTATTTTTTTTTATTTTTTTTTACTTTTTTAATGCATTAGTGCTATTAGATATTTTACCTATTCTAATTAGGTCTTACAAATTAGTAATATGTATTTACATGACTAAAAAAATAAAAATAATTTCAAAAAATACAAAATACTACTAATTGAACACGTCAAGTTTTAAATATTGATTATTACATATGATATTAATCAAATCAATTAGGCTTACCCTAATTGGCCATCATGTTTTCTTTAGGGATTAATTTCAAAGAGGTCATGGATTCAATTTCCCTTAAGAGAGTTGAATTAAAGATGTGCAAGCACTTAGATGCTTTGTCAAGGGTGGAAAGATTTTCTCCCATAGGTACTAATCTAAAACTAACATTAGCCGATAAAAAAAAAAAATTGATATTAATCATTATATAATGAGATTTTGATTTGGAATGCTCTAAATAATTGTATTTTTTAACTTTTTACAAAAAGATGTGTAAAAAAATAGAAAGAAGATATTGATTGATGTGACCCAAATAAGTGTACTTATGCAAAAAACTACACTTATATAATAATAGACAAATTATATTAATAGTCTTTATATTTTATTCTTTGTATAATTTTAATCTCTATATTTTTAATCCATTTAATTTTAGGGTTCAGCTTGTCTTAAGTTGAGATCAAGACTGGACCTGTTCAGTCCGGCTCATGGGGCTCATTTTTTGGGGCCTTTTTGATAATCTGAACCGTTCAATGTGTAGAAGTCGTCGAGTACTATATGACTATAAAAAATCACGTTGATCGGATATCAATAGCTATATGATCAAATCAATTTTGTATAAAAAAAATGGACGGTGAAAAAAATTAACGGTTGATAAAAAACTATCGATATCCGATCAACGTGATTGTTTACAGGCATATAGTACTCGACGACTTCTACACATTGAACGGTTCAAATTATCAAAACGGAACCCGTGGTGGACCCGTGAGAGCTCAACAGCACGATCCAATCCGATCTTGAACTGGACCAAAACCATTAGCCAATTTTAACTATTAATTTTAACGGAAGTGAAATTCTTAGTAAATTACTCAGTAAATTCGCAATAAATACCCCAAAAATCCCTTTAAAAAAAAAAAAAAAAAAAAAAAAAAAAAAGGAAAAAAGAAAGAAAAAAAGAAACAGTTTCCAAAAATGGAAATTAGGGGCATTAGGGGCAAATTTTTTAGGGCCACCAATCATTTTCCTAATTTTAAATTTTATGTAAATTTTCATACAATTAACAACACCAGGATCAAAGTATACCATCGTAATTTGTCCTTTAATGATATATCTATATCTTTATTAAGAATTTTGATACTTTACGCTTCCCCTCCTCTGCCTCTTTATAGCTTCAACCACATCTCTCACTCATTCATTCTTGTTTTCTCATCTCTCTCCCTCTCTCTCTAAATTCAGTCCATATATTTCTTTCAGGGGTGCATGCACTTTGTCTTCTTAGGACCCAAAACACTTCCATAACTGTTGTCTCTCAGTGTGAATCCACTTTATACCAAATCAAAGCAACTCTTATTCTCTCTCTCTCTCTCCATGCTTCAATGCCTGTTTCTTGCTTGCTAAATAAACTTTTATCTCAAAACAGTTCTCTTCTCAATCTCAAACTTCAAATTATTATCCAAAATACCTACTTTCCTCTCTAAACTCTAACACCACCCCCCCCCCCCCCCAAAAAAAAAAAAAAAAAAAAAAAAAAACCCCAAAAAACAAAAAACATAATTTTTAGAAAACTGAAATCCACCGCCGCCGCCGCTTCCGCCTCCAGAAGCCGCTGCAACTCCACCAGCAGCAGCAGTTCCATATCGGAAAACAGCGTCACCAACCACCACCAATTACCACCACTACAACCACCACTACCGCCGCCACTAAGCCGATATGAATCACAAAAACGCCGAGACTGGAACACATTCGGCCAGTACCTAAAAAACCACCGACCGCCGCTAATTCTCTCCCGCTGCAGCGGAGCTCATGTCCTCGAATTCCTCCGATACCTCGACCAATTCGGCAAAACCAAAGTCCACGTCACCACCTGCCACTTCTTCGGACACCCCCACCCTCCGGCGCCGTGTCCTTGCCCTCTCAAACAAGCCTGGGGCAGCCTCGACGCGCTCGTCGGACGCCTACGCGCCGCCTTCGAAGAGAACGGTGGGCAGCCGGAGACCAACCCCTTTGGAGCACGCGCCGTCAGGTTGTATCTCCGGGAAGTGAGGGACGCTCAAGCAAAAGCTAGAGGAATTGCCTATGAGAAGAAGAAGAGAAAAAAGCCACTTAAACAAGGACTTGTAATGGGTGAGCCTTCAAATGGGTCTGTGAGATCAGGGTTTAACACTGCTCAACATGGTTTTTTGGGCCATTCTTCTGAACCCAATGAAGGTCTGGCTATGGTGGATTGTTCAGAATCAAGGAGCTCAATGATTGCTCTATCTGTATGGAACTAGAAATTAATAAGTAGCTTTGAAACTAGGGTTTGTTGTTGTTAAGTCAGTGTAATCAGTAATGTGTTTCTGGGTTTTGTTTGTCTATTTATGAGTAATGAAAACTACCCATCAGCATATCAAGCTTTTAGGGTAAAGTATATTTCTGGGTTAGATAATAAGGGCAAATGTTTTTTCTAATTCTCATCCTATATATGTATGTATGTAACTATGTATTATCCATTTTGGGGCATACAAAACAATTGCAATGTTGCTATTTGGACTGGGTGGCATTTAGAAAGGTGAGGCATTTATCATTTACAGCATTAAAATATTCAGGTAAAACCCCAATATGGAAAGAAAAAATCTATCATGACATAACAGGAATGTGTTAATTTGATTTGTAACAAATTCAATTCTATTATCATGACATTGCGAGTGAATTTAAAAATTTAAAATTTGACTACCTAACATTTTTGTTCTGGAAAAGGTAACCTCTACTCACTTAGAAAATTTGTGAATATTCAAAACTGTGATATTAATGTATTAACTCTGCCGGGTTGCTTAACAATTCCGTCGGTCGGGTAAATAATCCCGTCGGTCCTAAGTCCAGGTAAAAGAGGGTTATGTGTTAAGTAGTCGACAGTCAACATGTAAAAAAAATTGTTCAGATCTTTTATGATATGAAACCTAAAACTCTAAATCGATTAAATCCTAGGTCGTTTTGAATTTTTAAAATTTGACTAACGAAATAATCTTGGATAGAATCGAGTAGAGAAGAAGAATTTATTTAGCCGATCTCATTTGATGGGATTTAAGGTTTGATTTGATTTTTGTATGTAATATTACTGCATTATAGAATTTAGGTATAGAATGAATTTAAATAATACATATTTTTTGATAAATTTTTTGGATATGCAATAAAAGATTATTTTTTGAGAATTGATCACCACACTCAGGGTTGGTTTCGGAAGTGTGTTGACTTTTTAATTTTTTTTAGCTATTTTAGCCTGGGCTAAAAAGTTTGGTTTGTGAAGGACTTTTTGACTTTTTGACTTTTTAAACTTTTTTTTTGTGAGAGAAGAGTGTAATGATTATGGATTGGATGTGATGTTTTGTCTTTTGTGGCTAAAATAGCCTATTTTGTATTTTGTGGCTAAAATAACCAAAAAAAGCCCCATATTCTTCTTCCCAAACGGTGCCTCATTATGTAGTGATTATGTTAAATTAAATGATAAATAAAATAAAAATATAGTTGTATAATAAAATAAAAAAAGTTTAGAAGTGTTTTAAATTGTTTAATATTGAGATTTGTATAAAACAATATTTTGAAAATTGTAAAAAATGTTGAACTAAAAAAATTCAATTTAAAAGTATATTTCAAAATTGGTGAAAAGAATGTTATGTTATGGTGGGTGAAGACAAGATTGAAAAGAAAACTCAGCTGCAAGTTCAGAAAACTTCACGGACAGAAAATAAGAAAACGAAGAAAGTTATAAATTAAACAATGATGCATAGCATTAAATTTAGACCTCTAACAATAGTATTAATGATGTGATACGGAGTTAAAAAAAAAACAAAATACATACATTAAGGCCTGATTTGGCATGTGTAAAAAAAAATAAAAAGTCAAAAAATTACTTAAAAAGTTAAAAAAATATCACTATTCACCAAAAAAAATATTAAAAAATTAATTTTACACACAAAATTACAAGTTAAGCTGACCGGTGATGGATTTGTGGCTGCGTTTTTTAAGAAAAATTACACAATTGGGGTGCAATTTTAGCACACTGTTGTTTGGCCCGTGAGGATCATCACGAGTCTCGTTTTGATAATCTGAACCGTTCAATGTGTAGAACTCGTCGAGTATTATATGTTTACAAAAAATCACATTAATCGAATATCACTAATTACATGATCAAATCAGTTTTGTATGAAAAAATAGATGGTGTTATAGTTAACGGTTGAAAAAAAACTAGTCTGATCAGATAGTTATCGATATCCGATCAACGTAATTTTTTACAGACATATAGTACTCGACGAGTTCTACACATTGACGATTCAGATTATCAAATGGGACCCGTGATGGCCCCCACGGGCCGAACAGCACCGTCTAGTGCAATGCCCGAAAAGTAGCCAATCATTTCTTGGCATCAATTCCGCTGCGCAGATAGTACGGCCGTACAACTCACACTCCTAATATTCTCTTACACACTAATTTATATAATTTTTTAATACACATTTTTTCATAAAAGTCAAAAAGTTAACCCAAACAATCATTTTTTTCTCAATTTTTTAGTCCAAAAAATCAAAAAGTGCATTTATTTAGGACATCCCAAACAACTCCTAAATTATTCATAAATAAGATTCACTATCAATTTAAATTTAGAGCTCTAACAATAATATTAATGATGTGATATGGAATAAAAAAGAATATATATACACATCAAATCAACAATGATACATCCTACTAATTTGGGAGTACTAATAGACCACTAATGAGGTGGAAATTAAAAAAAAAAAAAAAAACTTAAGGCCAAAATATTACATCAATCAATAGAATCTACTCTCTAAAACTCCTTTAATGCTCTCAATTTAGACCTCCCAAACATTTCTGTTTTGCAAATTAAGAGGTCTCCAAATGCGTCGAAACTGGGAGGTCTGTCGTCTCCAAATCAGGTATGACAACAATTATTATAATGTATTTGTCAAAACCATATGAAATGAGTTTTATATAGCGTTGGACTATAAATTGTCCGATATAAGATGACAATTATTTGGAGAGAAACTTTTTGCTAGAAGTGTTGGTGAGAATTATTTTAATTATTTTTTTTGTTATTTTTAATAAAAAAATATTTTAAAAAATAAAGAGAGTGATATAATTATATGTTTTGTCTTGTTAGTTATTTAAACCTAACCTAACTTGTCAAACGGGGCAAAAAGAAGAAATTTGATAATGCAAAATATGGGAAGAGAGAAAAAAGAAAAAGAATTTATTAAAAGCTCGTTTGGAAAAAAAAGCTCCAAACTTTTTGGTTAAAATAGCTATAAAAAAATAAAATTGATTTTTTAACTTGATAAGATAAAATATCATATCCAATCCATAATCATTATATTTTTTCTCTCATAAAAATTAAAAAAATAAAAAAACTTATTCTAAATGAGACTTTTTAATCTTAGACTAAAATAATTAAAAAGTCAAAAAACTAATTCACATCCCAAACGAATCCTAAGAGGTAGCTTAACAATAAGCTACACCTAGATCACAAAAACATTTAAAAGAGTATTTATTAATACCATAATTCTAGGCAGGAATTTTTTTTAAAAAAAGTTTCTAAAATTTCACATCATTGGTTAAGAGGTCTTTTGGCAAGTAAAAAAAAAACAAAAGTCAACTTTTAGTTTTTTTTTTATACCTATTTTGAGTCACATCACATTTTATATTTTTTACACATAAAAAGACAAAATAAATTAAAAAAGTCAAAAAATTAAGCCTGCGTTTGGTTGTGTTTTGTAAATGTGATTTGAGAGTATGAGTTGTATTTTGAGTTTGTGTGCTGTAGAATTATGATTTGAATGTAAAAAATTTGTTTGGTAAAGAGTTTTGAAAATAGTTTTGGAAAAGAGGTTTGATTTGAGTGGGGAATTGTTGATGTGATATTTGATATGTGATACAAAAATTTACAACTCATAACTAAACATACAACTCAAAATTATTTTAAAGCACATTAAAAATTAAAAAAATTTCAGAAAATATTTTTCCCAATTATATAAATCAATTGAAAAAAAAAAAAAAAATTCTGTACAGCGGAGGACATCCGGGCGGATGACCCGGAGGACATCTGGGCGGTCTTCCCCTGGGCAAAATTTTCACAAAAACAGCGGCTGATGCACAGAGCTCTCTGCAGAGCTCGTGAAAATTGATTCCAAAACAACAACCAAACATCATACTCAAACGCACGTGTAGAAACACGTTTACAAATCACAACCAAGCAGAGTCTTTGTATTTTTGCCCCCTTTGTGTTGTGCCGTGGACGGTGGACAAAGCATAGCGGAAATTTTTTTAAAGGCTAGGTTTAGGTGATTCCTCATAATAAGGCCAAATTTGGTATCCCTTAAAAAAGTCAAAAAGTTAAAAAGTCAAAAAGTCACTATCTTATTTAAGTCAGATCACCTTATTTAAGTCACATCACCTCTCTACCACATCACTTTAAACCCAACCCATATTTTATAAAAAGTCAAAAAGTATACTTATTTAAAACATCCCAAACAACCCTTTAATCCTATGGGCAAGTGTAGAAATTTACTTTTACACATGGTGAGATGGTAACATATAATCCCAATATTATTATTACTAATAATTGTAAGTTTTGGTGGAATGGATTAGAATTTTGGATTGAGGAAGAAGAAGATGAAGTGACTTGAATATGAACAATACGTATATGTGATTAGAGTGTACTATGAGAAAAAAAAAATATTTTATTTTAGGATTTAATATGTATAGTCCTTATTAGTAAATTTACATGAAGGTATTATAGGAATTAAAATTTCAAAATTATTTTAGTTGAGCGTACTGAATTACTATTTGAGTAAAAATAGAATCACCCACAATAGAGGCATATGTTGGACTGTTTGGAATATAATAGTTGCTTATAGTTTTTATTTTTACTTTTAGTCTAGCTAGGCTGGTTAGCATAACTTCAGCTTATAATTTATTAGTAGAAATAAGCTAAAAAAATTTGGTTATCTACATATTTGGAATTGAGTGTTTAAAATTTCGGTTTTTGATTATCTACTTTTAACTTACAACAAAGTTCACCAAATTACCCAAAATTACCCAATGCGTATGAAAGTTGTTTGTCTAACTATTAATTAGATTTTTTGTAATATTGTGAGTCCCACCCTGTTTGCTTTTTGGTGTTGCAGTGTTGACTCAGGAAGACATACAATAAGGACTTGTTTAATTGTCGAAATTATATGTTTTGTCTTATTAGTTATTTAAACCTAACCTAACTTGTCAAACGGGGCAAAAGGAAGAAATTTGATAATGCAAAATATGGGAAGAGAGACGAAAGAAAAAGAATTATTAAAAGCTCGTTCGGAAAAAAAGGCTCCAAACTTTTTGGTTAAAATAGCTATAAAAAAATAAAATTAATTTTTTAGCTTAATAAGATAAAATATAATATCCAATCCATAATCATTATATTTTTTCTCTCATAAAAGTTAAAAAACTTATCCTAAACGAGACTTTTTAATCTTAAACTAAAATAATTAAAAAGTCAAAAAATTAATTCACATCCCAAACGAACCCCAAGAGGTAGCTTAACCATAAGCTACACCTAGATCACAAAAAACCTTTAAATGGGTATTTATTAATACCATAATTCTACGCGGGAATTTTTTTTTTTAAAATGTTTCTAAAATTTCACATCATTGGTTAAGAGGTCTTTTTCGGAAGAAAAAAAAAAGAGTTAATTTTTAGTTTTTTTTTACCTATTTTGAGTCACATCACATTTTACATTTTTTATACATAAAAAGACAAAATAAATTAAAAAAGTCAAAATATTAAGGTTGCGTTTGGTAGAGTTTGTAAATATAATTTGAGAGTATGAGTTATATTTTGAGTTTGTGAGTTGTAGAATTATGATTTGAGTGTAGAAAATTTGTTTGGTTATGATTTTTGAATAGAGTGTTGAATTGAGTTTTGAATTAGCGTGGAATTGAGTTTTGAAAGTTTGATTTGACATGTGAAGTAAGAAAATTTGTTTGGTTATGAGTTTTGAAAAAAGTTTTCAAAACTTAATTTAAATTGTTATAACTTATAACAAAACACACTACTTTCACACTGTTGAAAATTTTGATCAACACTCATAACCAAACTCTTTTTAAAATTCAATTAAAAAAATTTATTATTAATAGAAAATAACATTAATCAATTTTTTAATTGAAAATACTACAAAGGAAATAATTTTTTTTCAAAATAAATATTCAAAAAATTTAAATCATAAATATTTAAATAATTTAAATAATCTAAAAAATTTAATAAGTAAAATATTAAAATAAATATTCAAAAAAATTAAATCGTAAAAATTTAAATAATTTAAATATTCAAAAAATTTAAATAATTTAAATGTTAATATTTTAAATTTAAAAATAACTCTACACTGAAATCGTAACCACCCACATAAAACAAAACTCAATTAAGACTGAAGCAAATGATTTATTTCCATGTCCCTCTTTCTCTTATTAATTTGTTGTGCATGTGGAAGTATTTCATTGTTGAAAATAAGTAAAAAAATATTTCCACATCAATTTTATATTAAAAGTTTAATTTAAAATTTAAAAATTTAAAATCGTAATATTTTGAAATTAAAATATTTAAAAATATTCAAAAAATTAAAAAATTAAAAAAATCGTAACATATTTAAATATTAAAATATTTAACATCATAACAAAATTAAAATATTTTAAAAATATTTAAAAAATTAAAATATTGATTTGAATTGAGTTTTGAATTATGTGTTTGGTTATGAGTTTTGAAAAGTAATGATTATATTTTGAATTGAGTTTTGAGAAATTAGTGTAGAATTATGATTTGAAAGCTCAAAACAAACAACACACTCAAATCAATAGGTGAAACTATAATTTGAGAGAATTACCAAACAGAGTTTAACTTTTTACTAACTTCCCAAAACACCACACAATTGATATGAAATTCACGGCAATGTTTTGGGTACTTTTCTGTGCCACAAAATTTTCTGTATTGCAAAATGCTTGATTGCCTAAAGGCCATAGAATATAGGCTTCATTTTGGTATTTGAGTTGAGATCTTAAAAATTCATAGGCTTAGAGTCCCGTTTTGTTAACACACGATGGCATGGTTGGCAAGTAAGTTTGGATAGATTTGGAATTATTTTAGTCACAAAAGATAAAATAAGTTATTTTAGTCACAACAAATAAAACATCACATCAACCTATAATCATTACACTCTTCTCTAACAAAAAAAAGTTAAAAAAGTCAAAAAGTCAAAAAGCTCTTCCCAAACCAAGCTTTTTAATCCAGGCTAAAATAGTCAAAAAAAAATTAAAAAGTCAAAAAGGCAACCCACCTTCCAAACGACACCTATCAAAGTTAACTGAGTTTACAATTTTAAATTGGTCAATATATAATTTTTGAAAGTGAGACCACAATTTGTGTAATTAAATTCATTTTTCTTGGGCACATTGAAAAAAATCAAAATTTGGAGAAGAAACTGTTGTTATGGATAAGGCCAGTGAAGAACGATATCCTATCGGTGAGATAAGTGAGAGTCTGCTTTGACATAAAGATATGATGAACAACAAATCAGCAGCTGAAAATTATTGCATATTCAAGCTCATAAAAAATTTCATCTTGAATTGGGTTTAAAGGGCTGTTGGATTATTTTATGCAATAAATCACATAATAGATCATAAAACACTTTTAAGTGGAAGATTTTATTATGGGACTCACATTATTGTGGATGTTCTGTGATCCATTTTATAATTTATTTTTGTACGTGTTGAAATTTAATTTTGATTTTATTCTTTGAGAAAGTGATTATAATCAATTTTTTATAAGAGAAAAAAGTATGTTATAATCTGAAAAATAAATTATAATCCACTTTTCAAAAGACCCCTTGGTTGTTTGAATGTCCAAGTTGAATACAACTTGTATAGAATTCACTGTATGGAAGTCATAAAAGAGGAGGGCAACTGTGTGACTGGTCAACGGAAAAGTCTGGAAATCAGACTTATTCCCCAAATTTTTTTAGATAGAGTGGAGATTAAATTTATATAGTGTGTGATTCATATGCAGAATAAATGTAAATTACAAGATGATAAGTATGAGTAATTTTTGAATAGTTAAGTATGAATTTATAATATTATTATTAGTCAAAACAAATAAGTGAGTAAAAATATATTTTAGATTGACATACCAAATTTATTAATTTATTAATTTTATCATAATGCTACATAAGTTTTTTTTTAATCACATTTTGTTTAGGACAAATTACGATGATGGTTCCTACAGTTTGTTCTTGTGTCGTTTTTGTTTATATAATTTCAATTAACTCAACTTTAATTTTAAAATTGTCTCAATTCAGTTTAATTTAAGATAATCGTTAACTTTTTTGACCGAAAGCATGTATGTACGTAATTTCTATTGAATTTTTTTTCAATTTTCAATTAAATTAAAGGGCAAATTACATATACACCCCTTGAGGTTTGGCTAAATTACAGATACCCCCTGAGGTTTCAGAAATTACATCCCGCCTCCTGAGGTTTGTATTTTCATAACAATTTGCCCCCTGAGGTTTATATTTCATAACAAAGGCTCAAGACGATAAGTATGAGTAATTTTTGAATAGTTAAGTATGAATTTATAATATTATTATTAGTCAAAACAAATAAGTGAGTCAAAATATGTTTTAGATTGACATACCAAAATTTATTAATTTTTTAATTTTATCATAATGCTACGTAAGTTATTTTTTAATCACATTCTGTTTAGGACAAATTACGATGATAGTTCCTACAATTTGTTTTTGTGTCGTTTTTGTTTATATAATTTCAATTAACTCAATTTTAATTTTAAAATTGTCTCAATTCAGTTTAATTCAAGATAATCGTTAGCTTTTTTGACAGAAAGTATGTATGTACGTAATTTCTATTGAATTTTTTTTTTCAATTTTCAATTAAATTAAATTAACACACGTTCAATAAAAGTTAAAATTAAACAAATTAAAACTGAATCCAAATCGCGCCGGAGACAAACTACAATTAATTCGATCTTTGCCCATGTCTGTTCTGCTCAAATTTCCTTTTCTTCTAGTTAGTGATTGTTTATAGAAAATTGATATAGGATAAGATATGGTTTTCCCCAGGGGTGTCTCTTATTTGGGAGACATATGTTTACATCCACATACCTACATAAAAACAAAAGGAAAACGAAGACCCTTTTCCTCCACATTTCCTTCTTGTTACAAAGTAGTGGTAGAGGAAAGCTTATGCTCTACTAGGCCCATTTCTTCTTTAAATTTATCTCCAACATTCATCATTACTCTTAAGCCTATAATAGTGGCATATTTTTCATCATTAACCACTTCATTATTTAATCCCATGATGTCACTGCAGGAAAATAGCGAATTAGTGGCATTTTTAAAATGCCGCAAAAGGTTAGAAAAACGCCGCAAAAAGATAAGACGATGTTTAAAAAATTCTTCGCTAATACAGCTGCCGTCATATCTTTGTGGCGTTTTAAAAATGCCACTATAGAGTTTAGATAACGTTTTTGAAAGCGTCACTAATTCTTAACATTTATTGACTATTTTCCTCAGGAGAGTTAACTATAACGTAACCATGACGACATTTTGCAACGTTTTTATGAAAATCGCTACCTTGCCCTTTTTTTTTTTAAAAAAGAAAAAATATCAAAATTATGTTTTTGAATTCTGTTCAAAGTTTTTTCATCACAAAAAAAAAAAAAAAAACCAACCTATAAACCATCACCATTTTCAAAACATACACCATAATGAATGTCAGTATTCATTTTCCAATTTTCCATAACCAAAAACAAAAACCTTAAATCACAATATTTTAACTCAATACAAAAAAATAAAAATAAAATTGCTAATATTTTCTCATTTTAATAAAAAAATAATATGGAGCGTGCTCTCGTATTTAGCTTCAAAGGCTACTCTCTCCTCGAAAAACTTTGCCTTCAACTCATCATGTTGGCTCTGCAATAATACAACAAAGCATTACATTTCAATACACCCAATAAATATAGAACTGAAACAAATATATTTATAGCAGAAATCAACCTCACAGGCCACAACCTCACTCTTGAACCGCACATAGCCAATAAGCTTTTCACCTCTTGTAGTTTTAACCAACCAACCAACCCCTATCAATAATCATGTGCCTCCATCTGTCCAAGAACCTCAATGGAAAAACAAATTAAGTAACATAATTTACTCTAAAAAAGTGTTAGTATGTAGACAAGCAGATAAAAAGAACCAATGTTTCATTTTCCCCTCATTTTAACACCCAAATTCGTAAAATTCACATTCCCTTAATTGTCTTATCCTACTTACCCTACAAACATTTCGTTTGATCCAAAATCATAAATTGCACAAACAAGAATCAACTAGATTAATGGGAGTTACAAACTAAACTACCTCAGCTTAACCTCTTAAAATGTATGTCAATGGGCAGGGAAGTTGCCTAAAAAACAGAATGTCATAATCTTGTGGCATTTTTTTGTTTATTCAACATTATGATAATATGAAATTGCTTGTTCCAACATACGCATTACTTGTGTTCTATCACACAATGTATGACGGTTTATTTGTTAAGACAAGCTTATGAGGAAAAAAATTTTCAAGTAAATTTTTAGATGTCAAAGAAATTAATCAACTGTTTTACATTCAAATGGCAAAATAATGTATATACCGGGGCATAATTGGTAATGGATTTGACACCTCTAGCTCCACCACGAGTCCACCACGAGTGGCACGATGGAATTTATCCTCAATATAAAAGTTCAAGGCTGACCAACCTTCCTGCATATACAAAAACCAAGACCATATAAAACCTTCCACCTTTCTAAATCAAATTCCTAATCCAAATTTTTACCAAGAAAAAAAGTTGAAGAAAGCAACAAAAATGTCACCTTGAAATAGTTTCTATATTATACCTCCCAGTTTGAAATGGTAATATAAGTGCACCAATGATCCATACAAAAATATAAGATGATTTCAGCCATACATACCATCAAAGAAACCTCAACAGTGCACCTATTATACTCAACATCCTCAAAAGTGTCCAATATATCTAATTTAGGAAGTGTGATACCCAGTAATACCCGTGGAAAAAGTCTGTTATAACACAGAAAATGAAATACAATTTGTGCTTATTGTGAAATGGTGTCAAATGAAACCTGTCAAGCTCACAAGACTAACCATCCTGTTTTTATGTGGCAAATGACATAATCAAGCGTGCTTGATTTTTAATATGCAACATGCTTAGACAATCATGAATACTCAGGCAGTACATACACCTACTGAACAAATCTCTCCACAGAGTGTAGTGTCATAAGAAAAAAGAACAGTTAATTTAGACATCAAAACACCAGTATGTTAAAAAAGTTAAATGAACAATATAAACAATTATAAGATTTTCATGAACATTATTGAAGGAAGCAACATAGTTTAATTTATAATGTGAGCACTTGCAAGAAAGATATCTATCTTTAATCGCATTACTTAACAGCCAAAAGCCTCCCAATACTCACTAGTCTGACACAACAGCTTGAAAACTAGTCTGGTACACAATGAAAGGAAACTTCACATCTCCACCAAGAAAGATAGCAGCATAAGTGAAGCAATTGAAAACTGCAAGCACTTATGGTAGAGTGGAAATAGAAAAGAGATGAAATTTAACATATTTGTTCTTGTTTTTTTTCATATTAAAAAAAAAAAAAGTTACATTATTGAACTATGTTGCTTGCATGAACAAAAAAAAGGTGTTGAGTCGAAATCAAAATGTCGGGTGAACAAACCTTCCCAGTAACTTTCTTATTCTGTTTAAGCAAGAGATCCATAAACAATACCATTTGAATAACCTACGGCGACCACAATCAATATATCAAATCAACTAATCACCCTCCTTCTACCCCCACCTCTCCCATGCATGTTTGTCTGTGAGAGACAGAGAAGTGGAGAAAGAAAAGACGTACATCTATTGAACAGACTACTTAATCTACCAACTGGTCCTGCCAAAGATCATCCCCTCTCTTGAATATGATTTTGCAACTTCCACCATTTGCACTTTATCTAGTAATAAAATATAGTAGCCCTCTTACCTAATCATGTGTAAATCACCAATTAGTGTACTTATAGGAAAAAAGATACAAAACACAGAGGAAGAAGAACCATTCCTTTTATTCTCCTTATCCATCTCTTAGCAAACAAAACCACAGACACACACATGCAATCATCATCTAGTGAATCAAAATGCCAAAGAATTTTAACTTGAAAATGTTATCCAATTTTCCCCTCTAAAATTATATATATGCGCTCTTAAATTTTTTTAGTAAATATATTAGACCCACAAAAAATTGAAAATTTTAAACAAAATCACATAAAAAACTACAGCAAAAACCCTTGAACGCACTTTGAAACTATGGAATCATAAAATTAATGGTCAAATAAAAACAATATTGTCAACAAATCACTATCTAAACAAAACTCTTCCACAGATATTTAAAAGAGCTATTTGAAATTTGCAGATTTGATCACAGACTAAAAAACTCCGACAAATTACCCACGTAGCACTTGTACCCTTTTAAAATATTTGGAAAGTGTATTTGAATCCTTTATTTTATTTTGGGGATCTTTGGTGTTGTTGTATCTTGGTTTTGGATGAGTGAAAATCGATTTAAACTTGTTGGGATTGTTCGTTCACGCTTGTTTCCATTGAAAAGTTGTTTGGAAACTTAGAAATCTTGTTCGGGGGTTGACACCAATCTTAGTGGCGTCGACACTTGCCTTTTGTTGTTGACCTTAAGGGTCGACACCAGTCTGGGAAAAGTCGACCCTTGTATATTGCAGAATCTGTGTGTTAGTTGCTGGAAATTAGTGTCGACCCTTCCTATCTAAGGGTCGACCCCTTACTTGCTGCCAGATTGCCTTTTTTACCTGAAGGGTCGACCCCTGCGTGTTTTTTTCAGAATTTTGGGGATCGAATGGGCCATACTTTTGGGGGTTTTGGACTTGTCCTTTTTATTTGACTTTAGGGCAATTTTCTACTAGTATAAACAGACCCAAACCACTTTTCTCTCATTACTTTTTCTCCCATTTTCATCTTAAACCGTGATTTCTCTCTTCTCTCTCTAAAATTTGACTTTTCGCACCTAGATCTCTAGATCTACTCACATAGAGTGATCTTTTTACCATGGTCCTTTGAGAAAGATTGTAGATCTCATCAAGGGCTTCCTTTTGGTCCGAATAGTTCGTGGTTTCGTTGCCGATGAATTTTGGATTGTCATCTCTTCACTTCAAGAGGAAGGGATTTCTTTGCTCCTTTCCAGTACTTCATCTATAGATAGATATGTGGTAGATTTTATTGCATAAAAACCATATTCATTATAGATTTTCTTGAAAGCCATGAAATGGGATCTAGAGTTTGATATTTGTGATTGGAGTTGTTAAGTTATTTGTTATTGGGTTATTTGAAAAATGATTTATTATGTTTGTCAAGAGAGGGAGGAAAGTCCTAATTTAATATTATTTATATAATGGATTTAAAAGGGAGGAAGTTGAATAATTTTTATATTTTGCTAATATGGGTTGTATAATTGTGTTTATATTAAAAGAAAATAAAAGGAGAAGTAACCATGGTGTTGGTATTGTTTTAGATTAATCACGTGAAGTTGAGTTGAGTTATGGTTTTGATACCAATGTAATTGGTTTTGTAAAATAAAGAGGATGGATTTGGTTTTGATTTTGTAAAATGACGAGAATGAATTCTTAGAAAATGGTTGGAGTTGTGTGGATTGGAAAATAAAGAAAAGTGGTCTTTTTGAAAGAAAATGAAATCATTACCCTTTGTAAATTGATAATGAACTTGAGGTCGGATTTTGGAATCTTTATATATTATCATTGTTATTGGACTAAAAGTCTTGCGAGAATTGGATTTTTGTTTTCCTTTCGTATGAAATGTAGAAATGGATAGATATGAATGTAAATGGTGGAGTTGGATATTTGTAATCTATCACCTATGAAAATATGGATAGTTTATCTATTTTGGAGATTGTATATATGTTTAGAAATATATTTTTGGGCTATCGGTGGAGGATAGCTATGACTGTTGTAGAAATTGCATGTGGACTAGGTGAATTGAAATTAATCTTTCGTTGGTTGTCATTGAATATGACTATGTTTATTTACATTGTATATGTATGATTAATTGGGAGGAGAAATGAGATGTACTCCATATATGATTATGTGTTTATATACATTGTGTATGTATGAATGATTGTTTGGGAGGAGAAAGGGGATGAACTCCATTATAATTAAGTTGGTCGGAGTGTCCTAGGTGAAAGTCCCGAAATTATACATGGGTGCCTAGCTCGTGGACGAAATATTTGTAAAATGGCAATTGTAGCGCTTGTATAGCCTACGTTCACATGGGTTCCGTTTGACGGCTGCCTGTGGACGAAATATCTGTGAAAGAAAACATGGGTCCCTTTTGACGGTTGCCCACAGATGAAATATCCGTGAAAGAAAAATTTGAAGTGTTTATGTGTATGTGTTGTATGATTTGAAAACCATTGAGTTGTAGCCTCAGTTGGGTGTCTAAAATGTAATGAATTGGCTCATTAATTGAGATGAAATAAATTAACTTGAAATGAATTGTCACAAAATGAAGTAAGACTAAAATGGCTTGAGGTGTATCTTTGGCCTGGCATTTCGTTATGGAAAGGTGTATTTTTGGCTTACTGTGCTTAAGGCAGGTAGAGCAGAACTTATTTATCATTATTGTCTCAATGTATCTGTGTATATTATGGGTTATGATGGTTATGATTCTGGAAGGCCGAGTTGCCTCATATGTTGAGTAAATAGTCGTTGGTTGCTTGTTGTTTTACCCTTTGTATTGAATGTATATATGTAAAGACATGAATGTGTTGGAATCAGACGCAAGTACTGTATTGAGATTGTGAATAATATGAAGAACATCGAATACTTGTGAACATGTTTCAAGAAGGTAAATCGGGTGTATGTCCGGAAAGTGGGAGAAAACATAGTGGGCTTGGCGAAATTGTTTTCAGGAACTTGTTATTGTCATATGAATTTTGGGAAAAAGGTAACAAGAAGAAATAAAAAGTAAATTGCTTATGTTGTTGAACGAAATGAATGATTTTGAGAAAAGTTCCTATATAAGTATATTTCTGTATAAACTGCCACAATATGTATAAGATATGATTTAAAGCATTCATGATCATAGTTATTTGTATGTTGTTATTGTTTAGGATCATATTGGGATCCCTACTAAACTTTATGTTCATCCCACGTTGCTAATCCTTTTTAGGTGAATGTCGAGAAGGGTTTCAAGATCGAGGATCTTCTTTCTGTGTTGGCCATGGGGCCTTTTATTTGTAGGCAGAATGTCATTGATGTAAAAGAGTTAAACCCTTTCTTTTAATTTAAAAGATGTAAACCTACGGGAATTTATTTATTTTTATCTCATGTTGGATTCATTTCATATTTGAATGAGAGAACCTTAATAATAGTGCTCGTTAATGTATTAAATTTCTACGTATGATCTCTGAAATTGTGTTATAATGAAAGATTTGGTAATGGTATCCGTTGATATAAAAGTGGGGCGTGACAACCCAATAAAAATCGATTATACATAAAAAAAATAATAATAAGAAACCGTTTTCCAAACCTGATCAACTACAACGAATTAGCCAATAAAAATCGATCAAACATATAAGCATAAACCTTTTCTCATGCCTGATCTACCACATATCTAATTCCGACAAGATTTAGCAAAAAATAGAATAAAAAAAAGAAGAAATATTTATAAAACCAGAGATCTAGAGAAAAGATTTGATACCTTAAGGGCCGGAGGAGCAACATCCCAACCTAAACACGGTCTTTTTCTAGGATGACGATCCATGTGCGTATGTGGAAACTCATTCACACGTTCCATCTCCATGATCGAACACAAATAGATCCAAACAGAGTTTAGAGATATATATACATATATATATAGAGAGAGAGAGAGAGATTTGAAGAGAGATTGAAGAGAGAAGAAGATAATCAAAGAATGAAAATGATCTGATTTGAGATGAAAAGCAAGAGAGATCGATCGTACCTGAGATGAAGAGCAAGAAAGATCGATTTGGTTCAAGAATGATATCGATTTTGGATCTGTGATTTGATGAAGAATAGATTGAGATCGAGTTCGAGTTCAAGTTCGATGAAGAACAGCTAGAGTGAAGCCCTTGAGCAACAGAGATCGATGAAGAATAGCTAAAGAGTTCGATTACGAAAGAGAAGAGTTGTAACAACCTCGACTTATGATTAACTGTTAAACCATGATTAAGGATGCCTAATAAGTAATTAAGATAAAATTCGGAATTAATTGCATGTGTGATGCATTATTTATGTTTCTATTTGCCTATCGTAGAAAGATCTGTTTGTGTTTCTATTTTGTTCTGCGAATTGAAGGCCTTATCGGCATCCGATCATGAAATTGACTTAGTATATGTGTTATTTGGAATTTTTAGGAAATTATGGTATGTTTAATTTAAATTCGATTCGGAACGAATTAATTAGAATAAAATAATGATACTTGATTAGTTTTAAACCAAGTTTATTTAAGCTTCCTTAATGAGCCTATATAAGGCTAATATGAATCCATTAGTTCATTTTGCACCTTCATTTCATTGTCTTGAAGCTCCAAACATGAGAGAGAGTGAGATTATAGTAAATTTGGAGAAGAATTATGCTCAAACTAAGGGAATTGCTAGGAATTGAGGGATTG